TCTCTCTCTCTCTCTCTCTCTCTCTCTCTCTCTCTCACACACACACACACACACACACACATGTATAGTATGTCTGCATATATATACGTGTGATAGTCAGCGTAAAAATAGTTAGATTGAGGTGCAGTTGGTTATTTGAATGACTGATATTTAAGTTTTTTTTTGATGATTAATTGTGGCAACTGGTAAATGCGTAATTGACAGGTTGTGGCTGGACTCTGAGAATAGGGTATATCTTATTGAAGAGCTTGATAGGAGAACGGGACAGGTATTTTCAATCTAGTGGTAGTATTGTTATATTTAATTCGTAGGTAAAGCTGATTTTTTTACCCGAATAATTCGGCCACAGACAAATGACTAAACCAAAATTAAGTTGGACATTAGCCAGTAGAAGAGCATGAGGGCGCTTCAATCTCTGCTTGTATAACTATAAGTACAGCGCAAGTTGGTGTTTTTAAACGTACATAAACTGCTTCATTAAATTAATTTTACCAGAGGCAGAAGATGAATTAGTATCAGGGTATGAAGCCGAATATTCAAGAATCAAATTTGGTTCACTGAAACCACTATAAGGTCTATATTGTCTTAATACGCTTAGGACATACGGAAGTAAAGGTTTAGTTAAAAAAAAAGATCCAAGTGGGGATCAAAGAGCTGCATCTCAATCTAGGCAATATAGTCCAAACTTAGACAGAGGAATTTGGATATGAAGCATTGCTGGGTAGACCAGGGCTCATACCATTCTTAATTTGATATAATCATAATCATATTCGGAAAATTCGGATAGTTTAATGATGTTGGGAACTTGGCATCAAGATCTCAAATTAAGTGATGTTTTATTGCTGCTGACGAGTTTAGCAGAGATACTAGTGTTTATCAAGGTGATAGACATACTTATGTTCCTTTGCAGGGCCATTCGGCAATATCAGTAGATGATACATTGAAGATCATAACCTGCAGGTTAGATGATTATAGCAGATTTCTGTCCAATTTAGGGAGAGTTTCTCCTCGTATTGGAGTTTTATACTGGGGCTATACGGGCTGATGATTTCTTTGCCAGGGAACAACAGAAGAGGCTAGCTGCACTTCAGACAGAGCTTGGAAAAGCCAGTCAGGAAGGTTTTGTATCGAAGAATCTATTGGATAACAGTGAGAGGGATTCAAAGAAAAAGCTTCTAGCTGTTGTAGGTGTCTCAACAAATTTTGGCAACAAAAAGAACAGAGATGCGATCCGCAAAGCATGGATGCCTACTGGTTGGGCTTTCTTTTTCTCTCCCCTTTTTTCTTGGTTTCTTTTGGTCGGGCTTGTGAAGCTAAAATTCAACCAACTCCACTAAGAGGCTGAACTTATGTTTCAGCTCTGTTGAACACATTTAGACTGGACTGTGTTGAATTCCTAGCAATATCGTTGTCTTGTCTTAATTACAAGTATCTGTTAGTATAACCGCTATCATGATGAATTAACTGACTTAACATTCTTTCTACTAAATTTATAAGCTATTTTTGGCAGGTGCTGCTCTTAAAAAATTAGAGGAGGAGAAAGGTATAGTAATACGATTCGTCATAGGAAGAAGGTATCTACCTCGATAAATTTGAACTAAATGAAGGATACACCATAATGCTCTTTGCAAAAAGGATTACTAGATGCTTCTTTCAATCTTTGCACTTAATTGACTGTACACCTCATGCAGTTCAAGTCGCGGAGACAGTTCAGATAGAGCCATTGATGATGAGAGCAGGCGTTCCAATGACTTCATAATTATTGTATGTGCATCTTTTGCACATCATTTCTTACAAGCTTAGTGTTTTGTTATCTACTAAAAATAGCAAGTTTGCAACCATAAAAGAAACGAGCTTGGAGAATTAAATTGACCGACAGTTGTTTTTCGAACTATCAAAGTAGATCAAATCTTCCTGGATTATTCGCATCCCTCCTCAACCACAGAAATAAATAATAATTAATACAGGGGATATCGATAATGTTGTTGTTAGCACACTCATGTCGTACGGGCTTGTTTTCATGTCTTTACGTATATGCCTTACCAGTGTTCTGAAAATCATTTTACTTTACTGTGTAAATTCCAGTTCTAGAAGGATATGTATCTACAAGACTTGATATGTTAACATTATTTTCTTTCTAAGCAGAATGATCATGTGGAGTCCCCTCAAGAGCAAGCAAAAAAGACAAAGTTATTTTTCGTTCATGCTGCTGAGAATTGGGATGCTGAGTTTTATGCCAAGGTCAACGACAATATCTATGTTAATATTGGTACGCAGTATTAGGAGCCTCCAATACATACATTAGCATTTCAGTTTTATTTTCTATAGTCTGTGCTCTGCTCATGTTTTTCCCTTATCTATGATTTAATTTTGCCTTCCTTTTAGGAAACTGTTATGGGAGATTTGAAATTATCAATTTCTTTAGACTTAAGTGTGGGAATATGATCTACTAAAGAGTTTTCAAATGTATGTTATCATCGGCATGTATGTTAGCATTGGCATCTTGAATCTGGAAGTGGAATAAAGAACTAGAATGAAATAGTACCTAGGCGATTTTTAGATTTTCATTCTTGTCAAGGTGTAGGCTTCTCAAAGAGTGAATAAGGATTTTACATGAAGTCACAAAAATGTACAAAAAGGCTGTTGCAAAGTGGTGCCATATTACCTTAATATTAAAAGGCATGGTGCAAGTGTGTGGTCAACCAGGCCTAGATTGATTACCCAGAGTGAGCAAAAGTAGATTGGCCATATTGCATCAAGGTTGTTCAAACAATATATCGCTTCATTTTCCAAAGCTAGGATCAAAATGAATCCGATTAAATTATGATTTTGAGAATTCCAACAACTATTGTGAATTCCTTATGTTAGGGTTTCTTTTGATTAAAGAAAGAATAAAGTAACTATGAATATGAAATCATTGTCTATTTATTCAATAGATTGTATCTAGATGTCAATGAGAAATCTTTTAGGATTTTCTTAGTCTCTACTCTCTAACCATCAGGCAGAGTTGATTGGAGATAGCCCCTTGAGATAGTAACATCCTAGAGATAGAATCTGGATCGGCTATGTCCTTTACAGAATACAATAACAGATAGCTAATGAAACATAATACCATAGCCCATATCTGATGATCTTCTATGCTGAATTCTTAACATAATATATATATATTAAAAAAAATGCCTCATGCTTATTAGCTTTAGTTTATCCACAGATGCTGTTGGAGCCGTACTTGCCAGCCATTTGGATAAGCCTCGTGTTTACATAGGGTGTATGAAATCTGGCGAAGTCTTTTCACAGCCGTGAGTTTGTCTTGTTAATTGGATGATTGCTATATTTCTGAAATAATAATCTGAGAATAGAGTAAAATTTAACCATAACCTAAATTTTATTTCTTATTCACAGGGAAAACAAGTGGTATGAGCCAGAATGGTGGAAATTTGGGGATGGAAAATCGTGAGTTGTTCCTTCTATTACTGTAAATCATCTGGCTGATGCAAGCAGTGCTAGATATGACTATAGAGGTTTACTGCTGCATGTGTTGTATTTATACCTCTCTTCTGTCTGGTGCTAGTTGCTGGTGACTCTTGATTGAAACTATTGATCATGCTGTATTGGATTGATATCTTCTTCCTTTTCTTCGTTCTTTATTCTTTGTGTTAGCAACCTTGAAGTAGGCTAATTTCCTTATGCTAATATTTGTTGGAGAAGTTGAACACAATATTTGTGAATGGAGATTATTTAGAGATGTATAACTGCCACCAGGAGGGGCTTTCTTGACATTCTGGTTCTTCGATTTTCTTGCTATCATCGTGGTTCTAGGGAAATGGTTTGCTTAATTGCATTATTTGGCTTGAATCTAAGGCTTCTGCTGCTTCCTGAACTCCAAAACTTTTTATTTTGATCTATGAAGCAGGATAGAGAGGGATTAATCTCTTTCTTTTAGGGCTGAAATCCAGTGATTTTACAGCCTAAAAAAGAGGTGCATTGGCTGGAAAATTTTGCTGTTTTGTGTGGGTAATAAATAAAAGGCTTGCAAACAAATTGGGAAGTTTAGGAAAGTGGGAATTTTAATTTTTTGGAACATAAACCAAACTTGCGTCTCTCTATCAGTAATTCCAACTCGGACGTCTGAAATGCTGATTACATAGTATTTGAAAATTCTAGCAAAAGGGGAGGAGTGAAATGAGAGCATCTGCTATCATGAAACTCTGGAGTACATGTAACTTTGATGTTATTCGTCCCATTAGGAGGCTAAGAGATACGGGGTTGATAGATGTGTAGAATTCTGTATCCCCAGAATTTAGGAAACTTCNACATAAACCAAACTTGCGTCTCTCTATCAGTAATTCCAACTCGGACGTCTGAAATGCTGATTACATAGTATTTGAAAATTCTAGCAAAAGGGGAGGAGTGAAATGAGAGCATCTGCTATCATGAAACTCTGGAGTACATGTAACTTTGATGTTATTCGTCCCATTAGGAGGCTAAGAGATACGGGGTTGATAGATGTGTAGAATTCTGTATCCCCAGTATGCTGCATTAGTCAAGCTGCCTAATAGTAGAAACTGCAACTTTGGAAGTATCTATGGCACTTAGAACAGGTTTCATTATTAAGAAAACCTGGATATGAATATTAAGCATTTAGAATACTGNTATCGTAAACTCCTTTATAATGGGCACTCTTGTATATTGTCTAGACGAGTTTTATTGTCCCTCGTTCTCGCCCTCATTACTTTTCTGGTTAGCTCAGGTAATATAGTGCCAGAAAGGGTTTCACCGAGTAAGACCGTATATTATTGATGCTACCTGATTCTCTTAGGCCTACGTATCTGTCTGTTATTTTTTTTAATATGAAAGTTGTACAAAAGAATTCACCTAAATATGATTTACTGCTTTAGAGGTGGAGTGGATCCTATCCTCCTTTTCCTTCTGTTTGTACCTCGAGAGTTTCAGGTTTTTATTATTTTGTAATTAGCAGTTGAAGTTGTTACAATTAACAGTAAAGGTTGACAAAATTCCTAGGAGCTCTTTGAAACAAGTAATATAGCGTTAAATGCTTAAATATGTGAAAATGAATATGGCTTCTGCCCATAAGGTTTTCCCGTGGAAAACATTTTCCAACCCCCCAAAAAAAAAATGTAAAAGGAAGAAAAGTAGATATGTACTCATGATTTTTCTGGTCAAGCTGCTGTTCTGCTGATATTTAATCAGTCATGACAAACCTCAAGATCTGCATGCTGATGAGTTCTGCAACTTGTTTGGATGCTAATTCTTTCATCTTTTTTGTACTCTTTCGCAAACAGGTACTTCAGGCACGCTTCCGGTGAAATATTTGCGATATCAAAGGCCTTAGCTCAATTCATTTCTATCAACAGGTAAGATTTGTGGAATTAAGAATGTACTTAATCAAAAGAAATGTGATTAACAATATGTTTCTATTGCCAACAAGCTTTGTTGAAGCGGCAAATGCTGAGGTGCCAAGAGCCTTCACTTCACTCAAAAAGAAAAACAAAACCAGATGCTTCCATCAATTTTGATGGCAATAGTAAAATGCTTACTGTTTTGCCTCCCTCCACTTGTAGATCAATACTTCGCACATATGCTCATGATGATGTGAGTGCTGGATCCTGGTTCATCGGCCTTGATGTGAAGCACGTTGATGAAGGGAAGTTCTGCTGTGCTTCCTGGTCATCAGGTCTCTCTCTCTCTCTCTCTTTCTCTCCCCCCTAGATATCAAGGACAGTGAAAAAGAAAACGCAATTGCTTCCTTTTGCAGCAGTTATTGATAGTATAAATGAATAGCTGTTTCCATATGAGTTGTGGATTCTCTAGGAGGTTCTACAGGATAACTGTGATCCAAGTATACAAAATCACTTTTTCATATTAATTAAAATTAATAATAGAGAGCTATTGATTTATAAATAAATTGTTCTTCTATAAAATTTTAGGGGATAAAGCTATACCGGTCTGAGACTCTGAGTACACTGAGAATTATTTTTATTAGGAAAAAGAAGGTTTTCACATAGGGATTGCTTGGTCGCAAACTCACAATATATTGATAATGCTATCCTTATGTGAAAGCTTGGACTAACTTAGTCTGAAGCTGGAGTACATGCTACCTCAATTCCCTTTTTTTCCTTTCCTTCCAGAATTGATCCACTTGGTAGGGAGCTGTAGAAGAGACCAAATATCGTACTAGAAAAGGAACTTTAGCGAATTGTTGACTGAGATATTCTATTTGTAGGCATTTGGGTTTTAAAAAAATTATATTGGTAGGGGTGGGGAAAATATTACTGTTGGTGAGGCCACTCAAAGTTATCTCTTTTCCTTTCTATTTCAATCTCAATTCAGCATGCAAGAAACAATTTGAACTTGAGGTTAGTTCATTATTTAAAGGAACTGATTTGAGGTTAATTACTTTTTTATTTTCATCTTAGTCATTTTGCACTCGACTGACGAGTTCAAATGTATAGATATTGCTAGCTTTTATCCAAGAAATACTCCTTAAGATTATTTCTTAGCAGAATCGGGAAACAAACTCGAAAAAGAACTACTACTTCATTGCTATTGTTACTTGGCGACTAGGTTGCTCGTTGTGATGAGATAGGTATTTAGGATTTTCAAGTGCATGCTTCAGTGAAGGAACTATCATCCTTAAGTACTTTATGTATCCCAGCATTATGTATCCTTAAGTACTTTATGTATCCCAGCATTATGAGTTGTTCTTGTTTTCTCTTTGTGGGGTTTTCAGGGTCTGTATGCGCAGCAGCTTGATTAGATTGCTGTCTTTAGTAAATGTGGAGATCATTCATGTCACAAATCATTGTGAAGATCTGTCTTTGGAAGACAGATCATCTTTGCCGGAGTTTGCTTTTGCCTTTTGGTGCCTGGGGCAAAGGAGCTCGAAGTTTTTGACTTCAACTGCCAAGAGCTCTATGGTAGAGAGCACCTTGGTTTCGGACACACCGAGCCCTGGAGGATTGTACAAAGGGTTTTTGGAGTATAGGGACTATAGTCGGAAAAATTCATTGTATGGTGATTTATTTACAGAGTGACATTGTCCATTATTTCATCGTGTACTATGGATATTCCTTTCTGGAAATATACAGTTCGGTGATCCCTTTAGAGTGCGCTTCAATAGCAATTTGCAGACAAAATGAACCAAGATGGCATCACGCATGTTGAACTGTGTGATCATTTCCTCATATTTTTTTTGGTTAAATACGCAGTAATGAGATTTGAACATAGCACTTATGCTTTTCTTATACCAATTGCTTCATCTAAAGACTACAACGATAATATATGATACATTTACATTTACTTAACCTCCTAGAAGAACGATAATCATATATATAGGTTTCGTTATGGGCATAATAGGACTCAACCGCTTATTTAGTGCCAAGCTTCTCTGCACAATACTTTCTCACAAAGAGAAACGTTGGTGTCACAGGGTTAGGAGTAATAAGTAACTTTTTGAATTTGTTTGTTCTTTATAGGTTATTTGTACAGAAGGTTTTTAGTCACGTAGGACATGTTTTGAGAAGTGTTTAAACTGGTGATTTACCCTTGGTTTTGTACAGCCACTTGATAATTAATAAAACTTTCTTTAATTGCCAAAAAAAGTTGCTGCTTCTTAGAACCTTATGGTTTATTACTTTGGAGGAATTTACCAAGCAACAATATAATTGTCACTTTGGATACTTTGATAAACTAGACTAAAAACAAGGGCAAAAATTACAATTTTTAAGTTGTTTCATGGGGAAATTGTCAATACCAGGTTTTGAGGAACAAAAACCATAGCAGTAAAAGTCAGTCATTATTATTCTAAGCAAGCAGTGTAACATCCTATGAATATTCTAAAGGAACATAAAAGTTGAAGTTTTAGACGTGGCCACTAAAGTAATTATTTTAAGTTCCATAAATTGAAGGCTCCACATGAACTAAATTATTAATTTTTTCACTTCAAAATAGATTTGAACTATTCATGTACAAAATTATGACTTTATATTCGGTGGTAAAATCTGAAATCACTAGACAAAGAGAATTTTAAAAAGAAAATTTATCGAGCCATTTCTTTTACTTCAAAGCAAATTTATGCTATTCAAAATGCATAGAATTATATCTTATATTATACTTAGCGTTAAGAAAATCTTGAATATTTCTTAAAACAATACATAATTTTTTTGTGAATGGTAGATATGCATACAAGTGACTCGAACACCATCGTTATTCTTCACATGCTTAGCCTGATAGTGGCTATATATGCCCTCTAAGGCGAGGCTCTTAGTGCAGGCGCTAGAAAACATAAAAACAAAAATAGTACTTACGAAATTTAGCAAGAGCCTCAAAGGTGAGACTTGATCTTAAGGTAAGACTCTTGGTCATAAATTAGCACTTACGAGTATCATTGACTTCAACATTCAGCAAATGCAAAAAACACAAAAAAATTTAAATTAGAGCAAGCCAGCTTGGGACGGACGGTCAATGTGAAAACTAATTTTCGTAAGAAGTTCACTTTTGCTGGTGTGCGTTGCCAAATCAAGGTTAAGCATCTGAAGTTTAAAGTTGTGTGATTTGGTGACGTGCCCGATCATGTTCCTCACAGAAAATGACATGAAAACTCATTACAACGAGGAACACAGCAAGCGGCAGACCTAACATCTAATAGCTTCATAATACATAATCGGAAGTCAGGGGTTTTCTTTACGTGTTCTTTCCCCGGATGGTAATTAGTTGAACATATAATTTTGGTTTTGAATTTCTAGTGGTAGTTTTGTGGGAAAAAATGGTACTCTAATGATATTCATGAAATTTTTCCGGCAAAAAAAATTTGGGATTAAAAAAATATATAGATCGGTTTTGCTATTTGCAATCGTTATCATCTGTTGAAACACTAACATGATTGACATTTTTCCTTTTTGTATATATAATAGAGAGTTGAGACTAAACTACAAATTTCTTCATGTGCTTGTGTACAGCCGCCGAGGAGCGAATTTTCCGTTGCATTCACTGCACATACCACGATACTAAGGAGTTTAGTTTTGATGGTCTTCGTTCCCACAGCAAGGCTAAGCATCTAAAGTTCAGAGTTTCCTGTGAGTTGGTGACTTGCCCAAGCTTATTCCTCATTGTAAATGACATGAAAACTCATTTCAATGAGGAACACAGCAAGCGGCAGACCTGAAACAATCTAGATAGTCATCGCTTTGGATTCTAATTGGAGGCTACTTTCAAAAATAGGGGACTACATGTGCAATTTGGCCAATTAAAAACTACATTACATTTGGTGGCTATATTTGTAATACTTAGCTCTCTAGTATAAATAGCCCTTATGGCTCTCATTTTAGACTTATGTTATTTTGACATTAATGAATGTTAAATTCCTTGAGTGAGTGTAAGGATGAATTCCTTGGCTGATTTATAAACTTGTTAAAGTGGCTTTTATAGGGTTTCTTCCCCTTAAGGGTTATCCTATAGTCACAGGTTAATTGGATTTTAATTGAATGGATATTTGAAATAAATTTCAAGTGTCCTGTTCAATTCCCTAATTAGTTCTTTGCTAAATTCTATCTTTCTATCCTTTTATTTGTGTTTTTGTTATTTTTGCTTCCGCGTTTCGTATCATCTTGGTATCAGAACGTAGGCTAATGATTTATTCATCAAAAACTGAAAAAAACTTGAGCTGTGAGATTTTTAGAATGTGTGCCTAAAATCCAAGTGCACAAGAGTGATACACGAGGGATAAAATTTAAGTGCAATCTTTGAGGGATGCACTAAAGAAGTGTAACGACCCGGCCGGTCGTTTCGAGAGTTATAACCCGATTTTCCCCATTCCTACTTCTTTTTGTGTTATTCAGCTATATTATGTTATATCGGGTTAATTGGTTCGAGTCCGGAAGGAACTCGGAGTGAAATGAGACACTTAGTCTCATAATTAAAAATTTTAAGTTAGAAAAGTGGGCCGGATATGGACCTATGTGTAAACGACCTCGGATTTGAATTTTGATGATTCCAATAGCTCCGTATGGTGATTTTGGGCTTATGAGCATGTTCGGAATATTATTTGAAAGTCCGTAGAAGAATTAGGCTTGAAATGCCGAAAGTTTTATTTTTGAGAAGTTTGACCGGGGGGTTGACTTTTTGATATCGGGGTCGGAATCTGATTCTGAAAATTGGAATACCTCTGTTATGTCATTTAGGACTTGTATACAAAATTTGAGGTCAATCGGACGTGATTTGATAGGTTCCGGAGTTGTTTGTAAAAATTAAAAA